TGTCCTCTCTGTAATCATATATACTTGTTTATTTGCTAAAAATCTAACAGTGGATTTTTTTTTTTTCCCCAGTGAATGACATAATATTATTGTTTCTTCTTTGGCTTTGAACTACTATTCAGAATTGTAGCCAGTGTCAACAGCTCCTCTAATTTCAGGTCGGAGGTTTCTTATTCTCTGGTCATCACTCACAGCTATAATTTGAAAATACTTCCCTGTCCTTCATTGAGTCCTTTTAAAGCACTTCAGTTAAGTGCAGTAAAGGAAGACAGAGTTAGTACAGTTCAACCATAAATAGCTTTTCATTCTTGTAATACACTTGGGATGAGAGAGCAGAAGATGATAGTGACCCAAGCAGCAATCACTAATAAGCATTATAACAATAGTAAAAAAAGAGAGAGATCAGTACAGGAGCTTAATCATAAAGGTATCTTATGCAGACTTTGGAAGTTGGAAATCAATAAATAACAAGAAATCCAGTAAACTTGAGAGTGGGAAGAGAGTTGCAGGGATGGTGGTGATACAACTGGATATCTTATATTGTGATGAAGGCTGAGCCTTGGGAAAATCTAAAATAATTCCTTCTTTTATCCATAGGACTTCAGGTTGATTCAGTGATATCAGAATGGATATAAAAGGCAGCAGGACTAAGATTCCATGAGGAACAATAAATCTTGTATGTACTGCTTTTCCAGTTCAACTTCAAGTATCTTCAATTAATAGAGTGTCAGGAGAGGAGAGTCAGTTAATTCATTTTTATGTCATTAAATCCATTGTCCTGAAAAACAACTGAAAATAGTGTGTAAGCAGCCTTACCTTCATTATGTCTTCAGATTACAGAAACCAGATTCAGTAACTAAGACAAGGAACATTTATATGACCTCTAATGCTTCTGCTTAGGTCAGCGTAGGATAGATTTGTACAGGCAGGGTCTGTCCTTCCATCTGCAATATAAAGGAGTTCATTCTTCTCTCAAACAAATTCCATTGTATGTACTTTGATGAAGCAGGTAAAATAAAATTTGTCTATTTTTTCTGCCAGCTCTCTGAGGTAGTGTATTAAAAGGTGTTGCTTCTCCTCACAGACACTGAATCAATTACATGGATTTCTCTATTTTGCTGCTGAGAGGTTACAGATCAGTAGCACTATGCTGTTTACTGATGTTGGAGTATCAAACCCTCATTTCAGAAGTTTTCTGACAACACAGCATTAGTATACAGCTCCCAGAAAGCTGAAATAACTAAGTACTCAGTAAAATATCACACATCCTTGTGTTTCCAAGTCAAAGAAATAATGTGCATGCATCTTAAAGCCAAGCAGAAGCTTAGTTACATATGTTTTCTTGGGACAAATCAAATTTCAGTTATTTTAACATGCTTAATAGAATTGTTTAATTCATTTATCATAAATACTACATTTCAAAACAGTGTGAAACAGTACAGTGGATATTATTTTTGTAGTGTTATAATCAAGTTATGTAGTCAAAAAAGTTAGTTACAAAAAAGTAGGCAAAACATCAAGAATTTTTTTATAGATATATTTCAGTGTCTGCTGAAGTGAAACAGGGAATTTCTTTCAACTTTTATTGTTTTTGGATTAAGGTTCTGCAAAAAGCAGCTCGTTAGCCAAGCGGAATGTGTGATACTGATATACTGATTCAGGTAGGTGCTATAAAACTATTACAGAATTGCTGTTAATAGAACAGAGAGAAAGTTGTGATCCTGTTTTAACTTTGGTTAAGGACATGTGTACCTTGGAATCAGCTACCTATTAGTGTCTGCAAAGATGAAAACATCTCTGTATGTTTATAAATAATATATACATTAAATACTTTTTTTTTTTAGAGAGAGAAAGTGTATGGCAACTGGAGAGAGGAAGATACTATCAGAAAAAAAACACCCAAACATTTATCTCTGATTCTAAGTATAGATATAGATCCTTAAATTTATACTTTAAGAACAGTGACCAATGTTTCAAAGTGCCTAAACTCTAGAAATATTTCGGTGATCTTCGCTTAGCTCAGTGTTAACTGGTTCATACCAAAATTAAATGCAAGAAATAAATATCTTTGCTGGGTAACATATTACTTGAGTTTAGTATTATCATAAAATAACAGAATCTTCTGAATTAGAAAGTCATCTAATCCAACTCCCTTGAAATGAATATGAACAAGCTGCTCAGAGCCTGGGCCAGCCTGATCTTGAATGTCTCCAAGGACAGGTGATCCATCCACCACCTCTCTGGGTGATTTCTTTCAGTGCCTCACCACCTTCATAGTAAAAAAAACCTTCTTTGTATCTAATGTGAATTTATCCTTTTACATTTTAAAACCATTTACATTTGTCCTATCGCAACAGACCTTGCTGAAGAATCTGTCCTCTTCTCCTTATAGCCCTCCTTCAGATACTGAAAGGCTACTATCACATCTCCCCAGAGCCTTCTCTTTTCCAGGCTGAACAGTCCCAGCTCTTTCAGCCTGTCCTCACAGGGGAGGTATTCCATTTCTGCTCATGCTCTAACAGATCCATGCCTCTCCTGTACTCGAGAACTCCACGTCAGGATGGAGTACTCCAGATGTGGTGTCACCAATGCAGAGCAGAGGGGCAGGATCATCTACCTTGACCTGCTGACCACGATTCTTTTGGTGCAGTCCAGGACAGGAGTGGCTTTCTGGGCTGTGAGGGTACACACTGCTAGTTCATGTCCACTTGCTATTTACTAGTATCCCTATGCCCATTGTGGCAGGGCTGTTCTCTCTCCTTATATCCTTCAACTTGTACTGATACAAGGGGTTGGTTACCATTACCCATGTGCAGTACCTTGCACTTGGATTTTTTGAACCTCATGAGGTTCTCCTTGTCCCACTGACAAAGGCTGTCTAAGTCTCTCTGAGTGGCATCCCATCCCTTAGTCATCTTGACCTTATCACATAGCTTGTTGTCATCCACAAACTTGATGAGAATGTACTTGATCCCACTGCCAATGTCACTGCTGAAGATATTAAAGAGCATTGGTCCCACTACTGACCCCTGAGGAGCACCACTTGTTACTTTCTCTAGCCAGACATTGAGCCAATGACCACCACTCTCAAGGTATGACTAGACTAAACTTTGTTCATCAGTCCACCTTTCAAATCCACACATTTGGAATTTGAAAAGAAGGATATGATGGGGACTATGTCCAAGTCTCTACTGACATTAAGATAGATGACATCAAGCATTTTCCTCATCCGCTCATGTAGTTATTCCATCATGAAATCCACTAATTAGCTTTTCAAAATTAGTTCTTATTTGTAACACTGAACATTATAAATTGTATTTTCTTTACATAGCAGTATCTAATAGCTTTTCCCTGAAATGAGCTTGTTTCTGAAGAAACAAAAATTGGATTCACTACTTTAGAACATTTTATATTTTTTCTTCGTCAAATCCTAACGATTTTAAATGCATAGGTTTTCTTCAGTTTTGTTTATTTTGTGGGGTAATTTGATAAATTAATGTGTATTTTGTAAAGCAAACAAGTGTCAGGCAGTTAGTACATAGCATGATAACAGAATTGCTCTTTGATTTGCGTAGTAGTGTTCCTGTTAAAAATTCTGCTTGCCAGTCTTTGAGATTAAATTCTTTTATATAGAATGAGTGTGTTAAGTCAAATGATGTGAATCTGCCTAAACCACTTTCTTCTTGTATCAAGCAGTCTCAGAATTCTATAATAATCCTTCCTTCCTAAAACTTTGGAATTGCTTTTTAGACACAGTCTTTGTTTCTGTGTTTAATTGTTACAATATCAATATGTCTTATGTACTTTGATACATTCAATAAAGTGCACTAGCACAGCAAAATATCATGGCTCAGTATTAACTGATTCATAGCAAGCAAAGAAATATATTTCCAAGAATAAATAACAATTGTAATTTTTTTTAATTGTCAGCAATACCTGTAGACAGTATCTTCTAGAACTAACAATGCAAAGGCAGATATACATATGCAGTCATAACACCAAAAACAAGATCACTACTGTATTGTAATTAATAAGTCATTCTCTTCTATGAGGCAGTTCTTTTGTTTATTACATAATCCTAGAATGCATTGAAATAGCAAGTATCAACTAGTAACAGTATACACTAGACTCCTTATCTGATTTGGACTAACAGGCTTACAGCAGGTCAGAAAAAGACTCGTGTAAATACTAAGGACAGAGAACTTTCTAAAAAGTAAGCAGCTAATCAGCAGTATTTAACCTGTAGGGAAAAAAAATTACTGTGCTTTGACTAATTATAGAAATATTTATAAGGCCCCATCCATACAGAACTCAGAGATTTACAGTGCAAGTAGTAAGAATCCCAAATGAATTTCTGTCCTTTTCTCAGAGCTGAAGTTAGAAAAGCACTGGACTGGGCTCCCCAGGAAGGTGGTTGAGTCACCATCCCTAGATGTTTTAAAATCCGTTTGGATGCGGTGCTCAGGAACATGATTTAGCAGAGGGTTGTTAGAGTAAAAGTAGTATGGTTAAGTTATGGTTGGATTAGATGATTTTTAAGGTCTTTTCCAACCTGAGTGATTCTATGAGTGTAAGTGAGAAAACGACCTGCCAGAAATCACAAAACATACATAGAAATTGCCTGTAGCTCTGTCCAGGGTTGAAGCCTAGCAAGAAACCTTTTTTAATGTCTTTGAACTATTTCTAAAAACTTTCTGAATTCTGCCTCTCCTCCATTCTTTACATAGCTACAATGTATTAGCCAATGATAATTATCTCAAATTTCTTTTTGTACTGTTTTTAATTGCTACAGTTTTCCAGAGCACATTGTGTATAAAACCTAACTAGATAATCCTTACTGTAAGGGGCTATGAGTCCTTTCCATTTTGATTGGAGAAGATAAAGCCATGGATATATTTTATTTAATTTATGATTATCTATTTATGATCAGATATGATACAAACTATGGAACACTTACAAAGCTTTGCTTTCTGTGCTTTGATTGCTTCTGCATTTGCCAAAACTCTCTGTCCCTATTACTCTAGTTGTTCAACTGTGAAATATCAAAAGGATATTTTGATATAGGAGTAGAAATTATCCCACAAACAAAAACAAGTGCACAAACTTGAAGTGCAATTTCTTGCTCAAACCAGAAAGGCCAATAGATTGGTAAAGAGCTTGACACTGTCAACATGTCAACACTTATAGAGAATGCAAGTAACAAACTTTTGGTGGATTTTTTTGTTGTTGTTGTTTTTGTTTTTGTTTTTGTTTTCAACAGGAGAACAAAAATAAAAACAAAAAAGGAAAGGTCATGCTTAACCGATCTGGTGGCCTTCTGCAATGGAGTGAAGGCGTTGGTGGACAAAGGGAAGGTGACTGATGTCATTTAGCTGGACTTGAGCAAGGCCTTTGACATGGCCCCCACTGCATCCTCTAAATTGAGGCCACCTGATGGATAAGGAATTGGTTGAAAGGATGCAGACAAAGGGTGGTGATTAATGGTTCTATGTCCAGGTGGAGGCCGGTAACAAGTGATTTCCTCCAGGCGCCTGTCCTGGGGCCAGTGCTCTTTCACATCTTTTTGTACTGACATCAGTGAGACAATCGAGTGCACCCTTGGCAAGTTTGCTGATGACACCAAGCTGAGCGGTGTGGTTGACACGGTGCGAGGAAGGGATACCATTCAGAGGGACCTTGACAGGCTTGAAAGGTGGGCCTGGGTGAACCTGATGAGGTTCAACACAGCAAAGTGCAGGGTTTTGCTCTTGGGCCAGAGGAATCCCAGGCATTTATACAGGCCGGAAGGAGCGGTCCTTGAGAGCAGCCCTGCAGAGAAGGACCTGGGGGTCCTGATGGATGAAAAACTTAACATAAGCCAGCAGAGTGCTCTTGCAACTCAAAAAGCAAATGGTGTCCTGGGCTCCATCAGAAGAGGAGAGGCCAGCAGGGACAGGGAAGTGATTGTCCTGCTCTACTCTGCCCTCATGAGGCCCCACCTGGAGTACTGAATGCAGGTCTGGAGCCCATAATACAAGAAAGACAGAAAGCAGTTGGAGAGGATCCAGAGCAGGGCCTCAAAGTTAGCAGAGGTCTGGAGCACCTCCCCTACAAAGACAGGCAGAAGAAGCTGTGCTTGTTCAGCCTGGAGAAGAAAAGGCTGCATTACAGCCTTTCAATACCTAGAGAAGAGCCTAAACAGGACAGGAGTCAACTCTTTACAACGGTAAATAATGACAGTACAAGGGGAAATGGATTTAAGTTGAGGGAGAGAAGATTGGGGTTGGCTGTTAGGGGGAAGTTCTTTACAGAGAGAGTGGTTAGGTGCTGGAACAGCAGTATTCTTACAGATACTGCACAGTCGGCTGGTTTAGTGACAGCTGTTACAAGAGAGTTTGAGCCACCAGTTCTATGCCATGTTGTCATTTTCTCAATTCCTTGAACACTGACAAAATAGTAAAGATGAAAAAGAAAAATATTAATCATTAGGATTAAAAGAGAATCTTCACAACTGGTTTATAGGGTGGAGAGGAGAAAGCCTTGTAGGGCATAGGGCAGGAGAAGCCCATGGCATCATACATCCATGTTACGTATGGATTACATAAATCCATTGACAATAAGACAAAACACGGCTTAAACTGAAGTAGGAAGAATCCAAGCAGACATGAGGGAAAATAAAGCAGAGCTACTTAAACAGTGAGACGTACTGTTGGTTCAACAGACAGGATCTACATCATCTGAGAGTTTCAATAACAAGTCAGACAGTGGTACAGAATGATACATCTGTGGTTGATCACGTCTTGCCAGGCACTGACGGAGAGGTCGGTATCTTAAGGCATCTCCTGACATTTCACACATCATAATATGCATCTTCAGCTCTAAGTACTGAAAGTATCTGAGCTCTTCTTAACAGATGGGCTCCTCTTGAACATTTGTGAGCTGATGAAAAATACTTTATGACCTCTTTCCCTGAGACAAGTTATTTAATTCATGTTGCATTACTGCATATTGTTATTTTGCTTTATTTTAACCAACATTTTGGTTTTCAAGGGCCGGGCTCCTTCTAAGTGAGGACTCATCTCCCAGTAAGCAGTAAAGCTTTCTGTGTAAAACCCTAACAGTAAAAAGAGCAACCTGATGTAAGAACCTGCGTGAATGTTTATATCTGAGATGTCACTGATAAGAAAGATTTAGAGACCTTGGAAGTCATATTTTTCGCCCCAAAGATTTCAGCAAGGCCAGTGGGAAAGTAAGTTACTACCATATCATCCAGATGATTAAATGCCACTTGTTTTAAGGACAAGGAATAGTTCTGCTTTATCTATTCTGTTAGTTATCTTTCTCCTTAGTTCAAAAAGCAATAGGACAACAATTTCATTTGTATGACGGTGATAACTGTGCAGCAGGAACAAGCCTGGGACCATCAATTCATTTCCCAAAAGCCATCCATTACTTAATCACAGCAAGTTTAACACTGGGATTCAGCTGAGTCACAGGCATTAACCATGTTATGCTTTCCTAATTGGAGTCTTTAGTTAACTGTTAACTGTATATGTTAAAGGTACATAAAATTCTGTTAATGGGTTTCTGATTCTTCCTCATGTATGATACTTATATAAACACTTAAAAGTGGGCAAATATTACACAATGATATCCGTATATCTGTAAATTCTCCTTCAATAAATTGTTCGTGTTCTTTTCATGTAAATTTGAAAGCGCGCTCTATGGCAGTTTGTAAGCAGCTTGTAAAAAAAAATTAAGATAGGACAACTTCTATTCTCCGAACATAAGTTTGTGAACAGAAAGTTATATCAACGTATTCACATTTATATTGAAAGCCATTTGTGGGATTAATGAACCTTTGAACCAAGGGAAAGATATCACACAGGTGACTTGGGTTATTACACGTTACAAATTAATAGAAAGGCCGATAGTCATAGTAATTAATTGAAAAGCAACTCAGAGATTAGCATACACTGTGACAAAGCCCCCTTCCAGATGATTCATTAACAGAAGAGAGCTAACTGATCAATGAATGTCCTGTGAAAAAAGTCTGCCAAACTCTCTTATTGTTCTTTCCAGCTCCATCATTGCCTTGCATCTCTGTTCCCCTTTTTTCACAGCAAGGACCTCCATTATCTCCAGTGCATGGACCTGCAAGAAGGTACTGTTGGTTGTAACTTAAATGCAGCTCATCTATGATAGATGAGAAAGAGTAAAGCTAAAAAGAAGCTTAAAGCTTGGGGTTATATTAACTATTATGAGAACAGAGTGTGGATGAACGGTTTGTGAAGGTCAGCAATTTCTCCAAAAGGAAAAGACAAAAACCATGAAAGACAGCACAGCAGTATTGAGAAATCAGTCATACAGAGTGATCAAAGGGAACGAGAGGAAGTTGAGCATGAGACATATTTGTGACATGCATTATCACATATTGCAATTGCAATCTCATTGCAATACAACCAATGGAATGTCTTACAATTTAAAAAGTCATTAATTTGAATCAAAGATAGAAATTGACAATCATACAGTAAGAGAAGCATAAGAGCTCTCAAAAAATCACATATGCAAAGCAGTCTCTGTAAAACTTAACTAAAAAGATGTAGAAGAAAAGAATACTGCAGTAAAACATCTGTTTGTCTTTTAAAGAATGTACAACAGTCACATTAAAATCTTCTACACTGAAAAAGATGGCATGGCTAAAGACTGAATCCTTTATTCATGTGAACAATACCACTTTAATACATGGAAACACTTATGTGAGTAAAACTCTCAGCAAATGTTTTAGGAGAACTTTGTGTCTTCTAACTTCACATTTTCTCTTACATCTCTTCATTTACCTCCATCAGCATTAGCAGCAGT